GAATTGTAAGTTCTTATATTAGGGAGACAATACGATATTTACAGATGTGGGTCTGTTTTATTTCACTAATAAGTATATCTTCAAGGGGCATCCACTTAAATATGAGGTTTTCAGGTTTATCATTCTTTATAGCTGAGTAGTACTCCATTATATAAAAGTACCACATCTTTTTCAACCACTCCACATGTGACGGGCATTTTGGTTGTTTCCAAGATCTACATGCATATTTTTTGTTTGAAAGATTTTACTAGTCTGTACATGTTACATATCTATAATCCTCAGGATGCTAGGGCAGGAGGAGTATTGTAAATTGAAGAACAACCAGGACAACTTAGCTATTTTGAGATCCTGTTTCAAAATATAAACAATTAAAAATGGGTGAAAATATAGCTTAGTGGAAGAATGCTTGCCTAGCATGTACAGAACCGGGGCTCAAACCCCATTACTGGGAAAAAATAATCAATAAAACAGTAAGAAGAGGCAAAAAAGGTTTATGAAACATACTCATTGGCATAATTAAGAAAAAATTCCCAGCCGGGTGTAGTGGTACACACCTGCAATCCCAGCACTTGAGTCTGAGGCAGGAAGATCACCATGAGTTTGAGGAGAGCCTGAGCTATATGTGGTGTGTTTAAGGCTAGCTTGTACTACACAGGGAGACCCTGTCTCCAAAAGCAAAACAAAATAGAGAAAAACATAACAAAAATTCCCGTCAGTATGGTCCCCAAAGTTTGTATCTATCTTTAACATTCTCTTTGATACTTTGAGGTTTTTCTCTTTTAGAAAATAAGCAATAAAACCATGAAAACCATGGAATAAAATTAAGATTCCTAGCACAATTTGACCCAGAGCCCAGGCCCAGCGTGTGAGTGAGACCACCTGGGGCCCTCTGGATCCTCATTTCACTCAGAGCCCAGGCCCACATGTGAGTAGAACTTCCTTCATCAGACAGACCTGGTTTGAAACCCTGCAGCAGAACTCCCTGTACAGAGGCTAGAGGCAAGACCCACCCAGCTGATCCAGGAGCAGAACATCTTGCCAGAGTGGCACAGAGGGGTCAACTCCAAGGGTTGCAGCAAGAAGAAGTGGAGCACAGCAGCCAGACCCAAGCCACACCCACCTGGACGAGTTTGAACGTGGTAAATCTCGACCTAATGCTAAGGCTCTACACCAAAGGTCAGAAGTCAGTGCTATACAAAATGACAAAGAGAAGGAGCAAAATGCATTCTCAGGCCCCAAGCCCACCCAGAACAAATATAGGGGACAATAGTACAGAAGAAATTGGAAATCACACACCTGAAAATCTCTGAAATAATAGTGTCAGAAATAAACAACTGCAGAAAGGTAGAGAGGGCATCAGATTAGAAATAACTTCTGAAGTAAAAAAAGAAATGATAACTATAA